ACACGTCCAGAGTTACCTATTTCAACATACAGCTTGCTTTACAAGTTTTACATTGCACAGCACACTTCCACCCAGCTAGTCACACTCAGGTTATAGTCTTAATGTTTGAAAAAGATCAGCATTACTATCCTCCAAGTAAAAGGGTGTGCATGGAATGGCTGTGCATTTTCTTTGATTTTTCCCAGTATCTATCCAGGAAACTATTTTTGAGGGGGGGAAAAAAAAAAGAACTTCAGTAGTTAGCTAATTACACAACATTAACCCATTTCTGTGTTTATGGAAAATACTGTATGGTCAAATATAGCAGCTGTAAGGTAGTCTTCAGATGAAAAAGTGCAAGTTATAAATTCTACTCAGCTATTTAACCCACTTACAAGGCTCTATGGCCTTATGTAATATAAAGGTATACCACAAATACTAAATACTTATAAATTTTAAACTCTAGTATTTAATTATATTTTAGAAATTTTTAAACTGTACAATAAACTTTCCATATTTGGGCAGCCTTCTAAGTTCTGGGGTTGCTTTTATTTTGTAGTACTAGGGACTTAACCCAGGACCTTTGCATTAAGCCCATTCATATTTTTTTGTGACAGTGTCTTTCTAAATCTCTGCTGCCCAGGATCCCTCACCCTCCCAGAACACTGGGATTATAAGCATGCACCAATGCATCCAGCTCAAGTAGGGATTCTTAACCTGGGTCCATAGGTAAAAAATTTTATTCAGTCATCTATGAGTAGGCTGATCTGTACTTATGTTGATGTATTTCTTCTGCTAATGTAGGGATTTAAATATGACTATCAAGTGCTTAAAGAATCTCCAACCTCCAAAAATGTTATGTAGGATTTCTTTGCATGATCCCAAGTTTAAGAATTTAGGTAGAATCTACATTCAAAAATAGCCAATACTTTTAAAAAAGCAAACAAATTCAAGGAAAGCAGAAATAATTTTAAAAGTGTAAGTCCTCTTTCTAATAATAATCTCTTTGGAAATGCTCTGAAAGAGGATTCTTTTTTAGATTTTTTTGATAAAGAGGAAAACAATAGGATTCCAAGATACTGTCTTCATGCTAATGTTCGGTTTAAATTATTCAGTACATGAAAATGTAACAAGCAGAACACAATTTCCCTCAAAATGTACCATAAAAATATTTTTCATCTCAGGATACAAGCCAATTAGCAAACCATCACAAATCTCTTTTTAAATAACAAAAGCCCATAAACAAAATACATGTAGAATATTACTGACATAACCTCCTGCAACATGATGCATGCATTATTTCATAGCACTAACAAAGGAGTCTTGCATCACATTGAGAAAATGAAAACCTATCATTATGTATCATGGAAAACATGAAGACCACTAAACTAAGAAAATGATAGTCTTCAGATGCTTTACTTTTAAAAACAGAACTCTAAATTTCACACTTTTTTTTTTTTTTTAAAGGAAGTCCTGCTTAACAACAGTCTTTTAATTTGGAAGTCAAAGATTGTACATTTTCACAAGGGGAGGCCATAAACTCACCCAATTCAGGCTTAAATGTTACTAAAGAAAACTAAAAAATGACAAAGAGGAATAAACAAATATATTTACCTCATCTGATTAGTGTCATACAGAAAACTAAACTGGAGGTAAAAAATATTTGTAGCGCTGTAATTTTTTTTAAAATTGAAAGCCCTTAAGTACAGGTTTTTATTGTGCTGCTCCCCTAATAAACTACTTCACAAATTACTAACCAGCAGTTACTAAATGAAGATAGTCATTCTGAATTTAGAGTAGCACAATGGAAATCCAAAGCAGTTTCTTACTTCACAGTCTGTCTTAAACGTAAAAACTGTGGTTTTCAAATATCAGGTGTCGACATTTTGCAAAAGAAAAAAGGCTGGTGGGTGGGTTAAAAAATGATAGCGCAAATCTAAATAGAAATCTGTACACAGAAATCAAGAATTGGATTTCAATACAGAATGAGTGAAGCTAGCCAAGTATGGTGTCACATGCCTATATGGCCAGCACTTGGAAGACTAAGGTAAGAGGATCATCACAAGTTAAATTGCCAGGTATAGTAGCACAAGCCTACAATCCCAGCACTCTGGAGGCTGAGGCAGGAAGATCATGGCAAGTTCAAGACCAGCCTGGGTTACAAAGTGAGCTCAAGGACAGCCCGAATTACATAGTGAGACCCTGTCTCAATAAAACAAAACAAAAACCCCAAAACAAAAAACAAGTTCAAGGCCAGTCTAGGTTACCAGACCCTGTATTTTTTTTCCACAACTGGGGATTGAACTCAGACCCTTGTGCTTGCCATGGAAGCGCTTATTCCACTGAGCCATCTCCCCGGCCCCTGAGACCCTGTCTTAAGAAAGTAAGTAAATAAATTGATATAGACATTTAAAAAAAAAAAAATCAGTCAAGATTCTGCTTAACAGTAAGAGTTGAGGGATCCCTAATCCCTCAACATTTGTAGTCACTAGATTTCAAAGCACAAGTTCTCAAAATCTAGAATTTTTCTGCATCTTTAAGTTACTGTATTTACTTTCCAACAGCTTGTATCTTTAATGCTGACATGGTTTACCTCTTTCCTAATATCTATACTCTCAATTTAACACTGTTCACTATGATTTAAAAACTTTTCCTTACTAAAAATATTCAAGACCATTTTTATGTGTTGTACTGTCTTTTTATAACCTGAAGCAAAAAAAAATATATCTAGAAACAAAAAATAACTGGAATGCAACTTAAGTCTCAGTAAATAGTGTTTCTATAGGACTGTTTAGAATGACTAACCCAATTAAGACCTGTTCTAACATGCAGAACATTAAATTTCTATTCTTCATATTGTATACCTCAAATATAAAATATCCAACTTATTCCCAAAGTAAACACACACACACACACACACACACACACACACAGGAAAAACCACTTTATTTTTTTTTTTTTTGTGGAATCAGGAATTGAACTCAGACCCTTGCATTTGCCAGGGAAGCGCTTATTCCACTAAGCCATCTCCCCGGCCCCGAAAAACCACTTTAAATAAAAAAATACAATAAAAATGCAAGCTCCTACATTGTGGCTTATACTACTAATATATTTTATGAAATGAGTCCATGGAAAACTCTCAAATAGTAACTGACAGAGTGATATTTCCTTTCTTCAATTTTGTGATTAACAGGACTTTTATTGGTAGTAAACTAGAGCAAACAATCAGAATAATACATATGCAGTATTCAGTACACACAATAAAAGTTAAAGAAATTCAAAACCTGTATAAAACAAAAAATTGGAGAAAAAAATCATACAGCGTAAGAGATACAGTGGTAAAGGTCCTTTCCATTCTTTAATTACAGCTTGTACTCTGTACCCAATGAAACTTACCGCATTTACTGAAAATAAAAAATACAAACATTTTAGTATTGAGTGTATTTAAGAGGATTAAACACATTTTCTAAAAATCTTTCAATGACAAGTTGGTGACCCAGTAGCCGCTAAAGCTAAAGGGAGAAAAGTGGGGAAAGGAAATTAACTAGTATTTTGTAACCATTTTTAATAATTTCTTATTTTCCAAACACTGCTTTTATAACAGAAATGTTTTACACTTGCACAATATTAATGACTTTATTACACATGGAAGCCTGTGGTAGGCTGATTACACAATAAGACTGCAAACAACCAGTGGTACTTTTCTGACATCAGAAGAGTACATAAGACTGAAACATCACCAAAAGTACATAAAAAAACTCATCAGCATAAACATCAAAGTACATTAAAAAATATAATCAGAAAAAAATACAATTGCTAAAAAGTGGTTTAGAGCAGAGCCACTGCCTATCAGTAGCTTCAAATGGCAATTAGCATTCATAGCAAGTTTCGATGACTTTACAAGACCCCTGTACAATACTGAGTAATATACCCCATTAAAATGTACATTAAAGGCTGCAATTTCACAAAGAGGTTCTGATGTCATTACTAAATACACTCTTATCCCTTACATAAGCTACGTCACCAGATGGAATTACACCCCTCTTAGTATCTATAGTTCCCGAGTTCATGGACTTTCATTACACAAGGATACCTATATAGGGTTGTTCCTTTTTAAATACATTAAAAGAGGCTGGGGATGTTCACCCTATTGTTTATTATTTGGATGCCATAAGGCACATAAAATGCATAATCAATTACCTACTGGAAATGTAAAGCATTCTAAAATTGAAACCAAGATAGGGAGAAAGAGAACAAGAGAGGCCTAGAACTCTAAGACAAATTTAGAATCAAAACCCAGAAGTGATGTTGATACTTAATAGCATAGACAAAAGAACATTTTGGGGGCCATATATATAAATCATGCATACAAATTTCAATGAATTATGTGATTCCAATACTAGAATCCCAATCACTTGGGCGTGAACACTGCACTAGTTAACAATAGAATCACTTAATGGAATTACAGCCTTGTTACAGTTAGTCTAAAGAGAGGGTGCTTCTTTCTCTTATTAAAGCTATCATTCCAGGCTTTGATCTAAGATCCAAGAATATTTGTTCTACCGGCTGGAATGAATGTGGTTTGGAAGTTCAGAGTACATTTAAAAGCTGCAACAAAATATAGGTAGCCAACAATCTTAGAATTTTGGATCAGCCCAGATGTGAGATAGCAATTTGAAATGTTTTCAATCCCTTGATGATGAAATGTGTATACCAGCCTAGAAAGAACAATCTGAAATGTTTTCGATCCCTTACTTAAATGATGACATGTATATCATACTATTTGTAAAATTGGATATTCCATTACGGTGATAACGTACAGAATTCCCATGCGTTATTACACTTTCCTGAGAGTAAAGCAATTAGAATAACCTTAATCCTAGCAACAAAGTTTTTTTTGTTTTTGTTTTTTGT